AAAAAAAAAAAAAAATTAGCCAGGCGTGGTGGCGCACACCTGTAGTCCCAGCTACTCAGGAGACTGAGGCAGAAGAATCACTTGCACTGGGGAGGCGGAGGTTGCAGTGAGTCAAGATCGTGATTGTGCCACTGCACTCTGGCCTGGGTGGCAGAGCAAGACTCTGTCTCAAAAAAAAAAAAAAAAAATTATCCTGCCAGGCGTGGTGGCTCACCACCCTTTGGGAGGCCGAGGTGAGCAGATCACTTGAGGCCAGGAGTTTGAGATCAGCCTGGCCAACATGGCGAAACCCTGTCTCTACTAAAAATACAAAAATTAGCCAGGTGTGGTGGCAGGCATCTCTAGTCCCAGCCACTCAGAGGCTGAGGCACAACAATTGCTTAAACCTGGGAGGCAGACTTGCAGTGAGCCCAGATCGCACCACTGCACTCTAGCCTGAGTGACAGAGCATGACTCTTATCTAAAAAATATATATATATGTGTATATATATATGTATCTCCTATATACTGCTCCATACTAGTCCAGAAATGCCTGTGTTCAAAGACTAGCACTGAGGTTAATTAATCTATAGGGCCCACTTTATAGTTTGTCTTTGTTTTACAGGCTGAAGGCCGGATGAGGGTCCCCAGTGTTGGAGCCCCAGGAAGAACCAGCAAAAGACAGTCCAATGAGACTTACCGAGATGCTGTTCGAAGAGTCATGTTTGCTCGGTATAAAGAACTCGATTAAGAATGGAGACAAGTTCCATGGGACACAACCTCCTCCTTGTTTTGTTTGTCTCTCCTTTTCTTTTGTTACTGTTCTTGCTGCTAGAACTTTTTTAAATAAACTTTTTTTCAATGTGATTATCTTTTTGTTAATTTTTTTTTTCCAGAGATGAGTGGGAATGGGGCTACTAGTAGGAGGGAGAGAGTGCCTTGGTTCAGGCCCATTTGAAGTTATGCTGAAGTAGCAACTAGTGCTGCATTAAACCTTAGAATACTGCCTACTGTCAGTATAAGTAAGTGGGTTGCAATGACCTCTGAACCATAGCTTGTGTGAATGCTGTCAGACCATACAATTTATTTTCTTAATCTAATCAGCGAATATAGCATTTCATTATTTGTTTCTTTTATTTTTTAGTAACTGCTTAAGCTGAACATATTGCATATGTTGGTTTACTACTCATTAGATCTTCAAAATTCTTCTGATTCCCTGTTATGGTAGAGTTGGGGGAAGGCGAGAACTCTTTTTCTGAGTGCCTGCAGAGTACTCCATGCTTCACACTTTATGATTAAAAGTTGGCATAGTGGCCGGGCGCGGTGGCTCAAGCCTGTAATCCTAGCACTTTGGGAGGCCGAGACGGGCGGATCACGAGGTCAGGAGATCGAGACCATCCTGGCTAACACGGTGAAACCCGTCTCTACTAAAAAATACAAAAAAAACTAGCCGAGCGAGGTGGCAGGCGCCTGTAGTCCTAGCTACTCCAGAGGCTGAGGCAGGAGAATGGCCTAAACCCGGGAGGCGGAGCTTACAGTGAGCTGAGATCCGGCCACTGCACTCCAGCCTGGGCGACAGAGCGAGACTCCGTCTCAAAAAAAAAAAAAAAAAGTTGGCATAGTAAGGATCACCATTCCTCTCCAGGCACTGCCCAGCTCTTCTTCTCTCCATTGCTAAAATTCTCCAAAGAGGTATCTGCCCTCTTTCAAATCTTTCTCAATTTCCCCATCATCACCTCTACCATTTTCCAGTATTTGCTTCAAAAATGAGGTTTGTTTTGTTTTTTGTTTTTTGTTTTTTGTTTTTTCCTTTTTTGAGACAGAGTCTTATTTTGTGGCCCAGGCTGGAGTGCAGTGGCATGATCACCACTTACTGTAGCCTCGACCTCCCAGACTCAAGTGATCTGCCTGCCTTGGCCTTCCAAAGTGTTGGGATTACAGGCATGAGCGACAGGGCCCAGCCCAAAAGTGAGCCTTTAAAAAAAAAATTCTTTGTTGTTAAAAGGACTATAGACCAGGCACGGTGGCTCACGCCTGTAATCCCAGCACTTTGGGAGGCCGAGGTGGGTGAATCACCTGAGGTCAGGAATTCAAGACCAGCTTGGCCAACATGGTGAAACCCCGTCTCTACTAAAAATATAAAAATGAGCCGGGCATGAGGGTA